AAAAGAATTGTATACCTGACTTTATTAACAGACCAAGACTTAATAATAGAAATGGTTTAATTATATAATATGTACATTATATATACGAATAGATGGTAAAGCAAAAAAAAAATTAATATAAACAAGAAAAATCAACAAAAACTAAGAAAAAAAAATAGCATTCAAGTCCTTGAGAGAAAATTCAGACAAGAAAAATTACTTGAATATCATCATACATACAATCATATACAGAGGTGACCCACCACGGCAACACGCACATATTAAAAAGAGAAGAAAAAAAATATGACACTTTATTGATGACACTTTTTATTCACCTCTTCAGTCCTATTTCTTCTTAGTCTTATTATTTTTCTTTTCAAATATTAATATATGTACAAGGATCTATTCATTTATATAAATGCATATATATTTATATATATATATATATATATATATATATATTATATCCAAACCTAGAAATATTAATATAAATATAAAAATTTATTTTGTTGCTAGAATCTAGAGCATAATAATATCAAATAATAATAATGATAAGAACAACTAAATATAATAAGAAAATGATTAAGAAGAAGAAGCAAAAAAAAGGATAATACTATAATATCCTTTACATTTTTATTAATACATTGTACTCTATACGACATATTTCTTAATACCTTTAATATATAAAAAATTTAATTATAATTTTAGCTTTAATAAAAGTAGTATATTTTATTAGAGGCAAAAAAAAAATCACTCAGTCACAAAGCAAAAACATTCGTTCAATATTATCCAACATAAATTAAAAATTTAATAAGTTTATAAGAAAAATATACGTTTTTAAAATTAAAATAAAATCCTCATTTTATATCATTATAATTATAATCCATATAGATAATAAAGAAATTATGATAACCGCATATAAAGTAGACTTTCTAATTCCCGGAATCCTATATACAGCTCTTAAGAAAATATAAGGTGACACAGAAGAGAATTAAAATTAATTTTAAAATTAATTTCAATTTTAAATTATAATGGCAGTATAGTATGAAATATTTTTATTATCTAAAGTGGCATATGATACAGGTGAAACCATGTGCTGTATAACAATTAAAAAATATTTTCATGTGCTACAATGCATAATAAGCGACAGTGCTAAATCAATATTTTAATTGAAATAGAAGAGAAAAATCATTAAGTAGGGAGAGAATATATTAGGATTTAGGAATGAAAAAGAGATTTTTAAATAAAAAAAATATTGTAATTGAAATCAGTTTTAAAACAGAATTGAATTTGAAAAATTTTTTTCATTATTTTTTAATCGAAAATAAATAGAAAATGAGATTATGTCGAATAGAAACACTAGAAAACTCAAGAGAAAAGAATACTCGCTCTCAATTATTATACAAATCTTTTTCCTAACTTCTATACTCTTATAAGAGAAATGATAATGCTCATCTCTCTCTCATCTATTATATTTATTTTTAAGCCAGAGTTTCCAAATCGTTGGAAATTTTCCATTTTGTAGGAATTCTGAAATCTTGCAAGGGAAAATTAAATGAACTTTTTTGAACTAAAGATGGTAAATTGAGCGAAAAAGAGTTGACAGGACATTGAAAATTATATAATAATATTGTGAATTAAAAACTTTATTCTCTTATAATAATTTTAAAAAATTTTGATACTCTCAATTTTACTGAAATTTTATTCAAAAACTATTCTCAATTTGAAAAATTGCAATTCTCATTCCAAAATTTAACTGAAAATTTGAAATAATACGAAAGTGATTCTTTATTAGGTCTATCATAATACAAGGATAATAAATTTTTCTTGAATTTTCCAATATCTCAAATAAAATAATTTCCAAATTCAATAAAACATAAAATAAAATTTTAAAGAAAAATTTAAAAAAATTTTAATTTTAATTTTCAACATTACAGATTTCATTTTTTAAAATTAAAATTTGAAAAAAAAAATATTATCGTCCCTTTTGAATTTTATACCGTAAAAGATGATTGTTTTATTGCAGTATAGAGAACAGCAAAATATAGAAAGGACACTAATCTAAACCAAAAAAAAAATGATTTCGAATTCAAAGAAAATAAATAATTTTTGTATATATTATTCGGTACTAAAGCTACTAGTTCTTCTTTTTGTTCTTTCTAAAAAAAAAATAAAATATCAGTTTCATTGCAATAAATAACCGACACAGAACAAAAAAAAAGCAATCCTTAACTGATACTTAAATAGGATAAAGATTGAATATTATTATCTAGGAATTAAAGTAGAAAAAATAAATTTTCTCCTTATTTTTTTTGTGTGTTTGAATTCCACAAAATTGCAACACATAAATTTTCCAAAAATAAAAACTTATCATTTGTTTTTTTTTTGTGTAATCGTTTTTGCTGCTGCTCTTGTAATGCTCATACTCGTATGTAAACATTAATTCTTATATGAATCCCCTGTAATATGATGGTAATTCTTAAGGATAAGTGAAACCTTATATACATACAATCATATGTACATGCAAAGAAGAAGAACATTAAATTTTTAAATTTTTTAAATCGAATTCAATATCAATTGCATAGAAATGCTATAAAAAACATACAAGTGTAATAAGATTTACTACATGAAAATAGAATAAAAACGAAATTAAAGAATTTTAAAGAATTATTTATAAAACATAGAATATTGAATAGAATTGTACTCGTACCATTTTATTTTTCTTTTGATATTTATAGAGAATTTATATATTATTATCTTATAGTAGAGTATATAAGCTGCAATTCGATAAATCCTTCGTACAGCTTATTGTATTTAAATTAAAAACTTTTTCCGTTTTTACAATAATCTACCATTCAGTAAAATCTTATAACCATGAAAAAGAAGTGAAAATAATTTTAATCGTAATCACTTTAAAAATGCATTCAATTTTAACACTATGATTAAGAAAATATTGGAATATACTATAATTATTTTGGTATTATTCTAAAATAATTATAAAAGAAAATCAATTAATTTTGTGAATTTGTTATGGCTAAACTATAGTTTCTGTCATAGCATTAATTCTAGAGTATTATACAATACTTTCTAGCCATTATTCTGGGCATATACTTTTTCTAACCAATTCTTTTTAGATATTCCAAAGTGTTATACAATATTTTCTACGAATAAACACTAGAAATCCGAATATATTTTAAATACAAATATTTTGTTACTCTCAAATTTAAGGATTACTTAAATATTTTCACTTGTAAATCTAAGCTGGAGGAAGTGATTAACAGCTGATATAAGAAAATTATTTTAGTTATATTTAAATTTTTTACTAATTTTTAATAATATTGCAAAAATTTTTGAAAAAATTTTCCATTTTTCAAAAGTTAAATTCGGATTTTCCCGATCTAGATTTCGACTCTCTTTAAGTTTTCCATCTTATTTTTAAATTCTAAAACAAGTTGATTGAATTCCAAATCTAAAGTAAAACTATAATTACAAATATTTCGATAACTTTGGCATTTTAAATTGAAAATAACTTTGAAAATCTCACTCTAAATTATTCAATTTATTTTTGCAAGGATTTCGTATTAAAAATTTTACAACCACATTTTTTTTTTTCAATTTATCAAATAAGTACTCTACTCTATTTTTACAGAATATTCTTCCGAATCTTGGTAATAAAAAAAACGAGTACTTTCAAATTAAATATTTTATTTTTCATCTCAGATCATCCAAATGTAACCAACCAAAATAAGGAAAACAAAAAAACAGGAAAATTTTATTAGAAAATTATAAGAGAGAAAAAAAACTAAAGACATCAATAAACCTTTATCTACATATATACATACTATATTGCATACTTACATATTTTATTAGAAAATCCTGTTATATTTTTCACCTTTTTACCTTTCTTTTTTTTTATATCCTTTTTTTTATACCGTATTTTTTTTCTGTTTTTTATTCTCATATCTCTTTTATATCTTTACCACTTTATTTTCTTTTTTTTTTATATTTTCTTTATAATAATGATATAGAATATAAATTCAAGATACTCTCAGAAACATTCAATTGAATATTCAATAAACGATGGTAAATTATTTTATGCAATGTACAATACACAAGAAAAAAAAATATATAAAATAAACAAACAAGACAAAGGGAGAAAAAAAAAGTGAGCATATGCAGTTTTTATTCCTCTCTTTTTCTCTTTTAGTGTTGCCCGATTTTTATTATCCTTTATCTTTCTTTATTTCTATTGCAGCAATCATTCATGATTCACAATACAACTTATATATTATATAGAGCAATAATAACCAAAAGAGTTTATTTAAAAAATAAAGCAAGAAAAATATACTTGCCATATGTGCATGCACCCCTACAAAAGAGCCGACAAAAAGCTAACAAAAATGAAGTATTCTAATAATATAGAAATACCCTTTAAAAGAAAAAAGTAACAGGACCTCTATTTTCTTTATTTACATAAATAATTATGTAGGGGTGTTAAAATAGTTTGAGTGTTACTTAGTCACACTCTCCCTCTTTTTCTCTTTCTGTCCCTCTCTCTTATACTCTTATACTTCATTCATAGATTTAGTTCAATTTATTTTTATTACTAGCTAACTGCATAAATACTGCACTTAAATTTATTTTAAAGGTTATCTTATACCGTATTAGATATGTAAGGCCGTCCCTATGTTGAATATTTTATTATACTTTTAGATTTTATGGTCCATTCAAAGTACACATACATGTATTTCTATAATTATTAAGTAGGATTTTAAAGGATATAGTAACAATATTATTATTTGCAAAAAAAATTTGTGTTTTTAAGTTTTAAAATTTAAGATTGAAGCTCAATTAAAGCATGATTATAGAGAAAATTATGAATAAATTACTAAAATAATATAAAAATTCTGTTGAAATTGAAAAATACGAAGAAGACTTCCCTGTAATTAAGTCAGAAAACTTATTCAATAAAATATTTTAAAAAATTTTAATAATTTTTTTTATTTTTCATTTATTTTCAGTCCCTGTTAACTCATGTTTCTCGCCCAACTAAAAATACATTAAATAAATTGGGTGTATTCACGGTTTCTTCGTTCCATGCATTCATATGTGCCAGATCACCATCTTTGCTTAATAATTTATTAGCTGGACGTGGTGCTACAAAACGTCGTCCACCATTATTATCAAGATCGAATAGCGGTTCAAGTAGAAGATCAATGCAGGTAAGTCTTTAATTTTTATATAATTATTATATTTTAATTTTTGGAATTTTTTAAATTAAATGTGCATTCAAATTAAAGATTTCTGAAAGTTTTGCAAAATTTGAATAATTTTGTAAAATTATATTTTTCAGAAATTTTGAAAATAACAATTTTTCATTGGAAATTTGAAAAAAAAAACATAAATAAATCGTAAAATATAATACCTTTAACACAATTGTGAAAAGGCAGGATGTTGAATAGAAATCAAGCCTATGAACGGGATAATAATAATAGATCGTATTGTAGGCGGTGGTCGAACTTATACGTATATAAATATGGTGCTCAATTTTAATTGGTTACAGTATATAGATAAAATTATAAGCAGTTGTGGTTTTGTATTATGGATGGTTGTGGGAAACTACGGCGGTTATAGTTTTGTCTAATTATAGACGGGTGTGTTTATACTTCGGTATTGAATCATCACCTCCGAATTTACAATATATTGTATGCACAAATCACTTATTTTAAAAATTTGAAATTTAAAATATTTTTTTGTAGAAATTCAATTTAATTTGCTATTAAATTTGCATACTAATAATTAATATTAAACAAGTCTTTAATATCTTATTTAAATCAAATGTTAATCCCTTTTAATATTATCTTATCTTATGTCTGTAATTGAGTTATCACTTTTTTTTTAAGGGTCATAATGCTATACAACATAATCATCTTAATGACAATATCAAATATCTTAACTGTATATTGAAGAAATAGTACTAAATATTCCAAATATACAAGAGTATAACTACATTATACTTGCATCTGTTTAAATTCAGTCCTTTTTATTATACTCGAGGCAATATCATGTTCGGTAGAATTTAATTTTTACTTAAATTATAATATAATTAATTGTGACATAATAATATATACATACTTGTTATTTTATATACAGTATAACAAAATATTTATATGGTATATAGATAAGTATAAGTAAAAAGGACATTATACCCTGTAATTATTAAAAGACGACGAAAAGTAATATTTTTTTTTTCACTTATATATAAGTAGTTAAAGAACTTGAATATGATAACTATTTATTTAAAATTATATATGTATGTATATATACAATTATATTAAATATATAAATTTAATAAAATATTATACAATTTAATTGTCGTCCATTTTTAAGTTCAAATAAATTTAAATGAAACCAAAGGTTTATAAAAAAGCACATTTAATTTGAACAAATGAGATTATTATTCTCTTCTATTGATATTATTTTCTTTACATCACAAAATATTATCTCATAGCATAACTTTAGGAGAAAATTGCATAAGTTTAACATTTAATTAATTACCGAGGAAAAATAATAGAATTTTGCAAAAGAGAGGCCATTTCGTAGAAAATTCAATTCATATAGAAATTTTGCAATTGTCCATTGTAAAAGGTATAGAATTTGGCTGAAAAAAATTCACAATCGAAGAAGCGAACAAATGGACAGAGTAAAACTTTTCTTTTGAAATTTTCTTGAAAATGTGATAAAAAAGAGAAAAGGATTAAATTTTGATAGTCTATGATTTTGCAATTGTAAGCAAAAATTTGTTATATTTTTGCATAACGATTAAAGTTTTGTAAGTATTAACAGATACTGCTTACTTATACATACATTCATATACATCTGATATAATATTTAGATAGTTAATATTGTCTTTAACTGTGTATAATAATTCAAGGATCATTTCAAAATATGAATACCAGACATAATTACTATTTGGTATACACATACATAGTAATTTTCTTATAAAGTTTAATAACATTTATATATAGTATAAGAATAAGGTCAAAAAAATTTTAATAAAGATTGTTGACATTCTATATTAGTGCTATAATATTATAATCACCTATAAACTCTTCTAGACGACATCTTTCTTAATAATATCATTTTCATTTAATTTATAAATTTATTATCCTAGCTATTTAGCTCGTTTTTTTTTTTTGTTAACTGTTCTATGTAATTATTTGAGTGCTTTTATAAAATATATTATACATTTATGCAATTAAATTATATATTTAATATATATTTACTTAAATTACACAGTTATTATATATAAGATATCAGTTTAATAGTACGTATAGTTTCTTATATATAAATGTAAAATTTAAATTACAGTCTTTAAATTTTAATTAGGAATTAATTAAAAGAATAGAGAAAATGTTGCTATTTTCACAAAAAAAAAATATTACGTTTGGTAGTTTTAGGATTTTTACTCACATCTTCGAACTTTAAAATTAATTATTTTATTGACTAGCCCCTCAGGAATACAAATTTTGAAAAAAAGAAATATTGTTCTATGAATTTTCCAGCAGCAGTCATTAATTTACAATGAACGTTCGTACACTTGAACATTGTTCCAACGTATTCTTGTAGGCCCATTGCAATTGTTAAACAATTCAAATTAGAGATAACAAGAGAATATTCAATAGATTCTGCAGTCAATGGAGCTAATGTCTTATAATCGATAGGAGAATTGAAGGTTGTATTAGATTTAACACCAAGCACATCGTCAAATTAATTTTTATTTTGACTGAAATTAAACAGGCGTGATATTTCCCATAGTTGATGATATTTTCTTTACTAAATGAACTATGACTAGCCGACTGGTTGGTCTAAGCTCAAGCGTTAAAGTAATCACATAAAATTTATTAAAATCGAAGTCCAAGCAAAAGATTCCTAAATGATTGGTAAGTCCGTTTAAGTCTAGGCTTCAATAGAATTTCGATTAATATAAGTTTAGTTATATTGAATGACATGCCCAAGCTGACGTCAACTTTGCTACAAATATTGACTTTACCTCCATAATTATAACTGCAAGATTATTATCTCCACTCCTGTTGTTAATTTCCGATTGATGACATCACGATGATTTTTTGGGAAAATCAGAATGAGTGAAAATATTATTTATATCTTAGGACATATCTCGGTATCTCGGCACAGATTTGATTCGAAAATAGTTTTATTCCTGACATTTTGCCATTTGGGGATTGAAGCCATTTTGTGATTGTTTTACTTGTTCCCGGGCTATTTCTAATATTTTGATGTTGATTTTTTAAACTCACAAACTATTATTTAAGAAAAAATTTTTTTACCAATCATTTCTGTAAAAAAAAAACTAAAAGCAATATCAAGATTTTAGTTCGCGTGTACTCAACAAAAAAACACATTGATTTTATCTTTATTTATTTCATGTCTATCAAACTGTTCTCCCACTATAAGAGATTAAAATTTTCAATAAAATGTACTTTATATAATGCGTTTTTAATACTGTATAAGCTTAAGTAGTCAGTCTTATATTTTAAGACCATCAAAATAATTTTTTAAGATTAAAATTATCTACTTCTGATGTTTGTTTTTTTTTTTTCAAATCCCTTAGGCTGATGTTACCTTTTATCTTTAAAATAATTATGGCTTTTTGAAAATCACTCACTTTATATTATTTATAAAGATTCCAATTATTTTCGATATTAATTTTAATACTCGGGTCCTCTTTGAAGAATGAAAAGGCCAAGGTTGAAATAAGCGTTGTCACTGAAAACTTTGCTGCTTTTTTATTTTTCTGATTCAGTTTGCTCCTTTTTTCTCTTTTTTTTTTATTTTACGATTATTAATAAATTTTTTTTTCATATTTTATATTTCAAATTTACCACAATGATTTTTAAAATACTCTTTTGCAATTTCTCTATACATTTTTTTTCGTTATGGCTATGTTATATGCAATTTAAATAAATTTTTTAAAAAAATATCAAAGAATGTTAAAACTATTGACAAAATGGAATATTTATATACATATACAGGGTGTTTTGGAAAAGATGGCAAATACTTTCAAGGATGATTCTTTAATCAATTTCCAACAAAAATTTGGTTGAAATAGAAGAGGGGGAAGGTGATGCAGATATACTCGAAAACTGTAGAACAAATCAAATTGATTTTTAGACCAAAAATAGAGAGCAATCAATTCTTTTGTGAAATCAGTCCCAATACCTACTATACGTCGCTTGGTTCTGAAGTTATAAACATTTATTTGTATGTAGGAAAAATCGGGTACCTTTTTAACAGACAATTCGCCCTCACACTCACTTTAATTAAATGGAATTTGCTGGAATTCGATAAAAGAATCATCGACAAAATTATTTGCCACCTTATGCGAAATATCCTATATAAAATATATTTTGAGAATCTTTGAATTATTCTTAATAGATTGTTAATTTAAAAAAAAAAAAAAAAAATAGTCAATTGATTCTCTTTTTGAAAAAAAAGGAAGTACATTTGAACGGAAATTAAAATTTAACATCAAAGGAATTGATGATGATACTTTGAAGGTTCTTCTGTCCATCTGAAAAGTATGAGGAAAAGAAAAAAGTTTGCCTCAAAATTTGAGTCTTTTTTTTTTTCCTTTTTTTATTTATTTTTCATTCATTAAAAATTTAATTATGACTTTTCTTCTATTTTTTTTTTCTGATGTTATTTGACCGGAAAATTTTTTTTTCATAAAAATTTCTTTGAAAAAGTTTAAAGAAAAACTTTATTGTTGGTAGTGTGAATTTTTTTCATTATACCGTTGTATCTTTATTTTATGTTGCACTCAAACTACAAATAAGAAGAAAGTTTTGAAATTCACTCAAAATTTATTGTCAATAATAACTTTGTTTTGGAATTAATGACTGTACAGTACAGTCATTTGAAATAAAAAGAAAAAATTTTAATTTCCTATTTTTCTTGATTTTAATTTTTAAAATAAAATTTATTTTTAAATTTATCGATAATTTTCTGAGATTTTCTGGAAATATACAATTAAAAATTTGATTTCTAAATTAAAATTAAATATTCGAACAGTTGTTAAATTCGCTTAAAAATCTTTTACTTTTTATGATTTAATCAGAAAATTTAATTAAAAATTTTCAAAATTTTTCATACAAACTCATAATTTTTTTTTATATTACGAGTTGAATTGATTTTATCAGAA